CAGGGGGTGGGGCTTCATCATGTGCCCCGCCCCCCGTACCTCACCCGGGGGAACTGCGATCCCCCATGATCCCCCCCGAAATGACCTCTGCTTCTGACACACTTCCGGTGATGTCAGGGGGTGTGGCATAGGCCAATACGTTATGCTGATGAGCTATGCTAATGAGCTCCTGCACCTCTTTTTCTACGAAATGACCCCTGATTAGAACCAAAAGTTACTTTAAAATATCTTAGATCTAGAAGCTGTTTTAGAAATCGTCTCCCCTCCGTCACTCTCTCCTTGGTAGGGCTACGACAGGGTGTGGCAGGGTGAAGGCCCGGTAGAGGTGAAGAGACGCTTGAATAGCCTGGAGGGGAGGGGGAAGCAAAGGAGACGCTGGGGAGAAGGGAGACTGGGAAGAGTTTGCCTCTTTTTCTTGTGCTTTTGAAAAGGTCCATAACGGCCTTAACCCTCACAACCCTCTTAAGCTAAATCACTAGGGCTTCTGGTGTCCTGGCCCCACTGCTGGACCTCCTGATGGCACCTGGTGTTTCTGGCCACTGTGTGACACAGAGGGTGCGTTCAGACGGGGCGTTTCTGCCGGCATAAACGCGATCACACTTACCTCCATCTTCCGGATCCCTCCGTTGGACGCCCGCTCACTCACTGCGGGCGTCGGCGGTTTTTTTTTTTTAAAGCACAGTTTGAGCATGCGCATAGGCAGCCATTCAGAGAATGGCGATCTTTGCGCATGCTCAACCCCCCCCCATTACATTTAAACTTTAAAGGTAAGCACTTACCTTTAAAGTTTAAAGCCCAACCTGGCCTCCCTGTAGTCCCGGACTCCTCCGGGAAGTTAAACTAAGGGCTTTAAAAACAACAACAACAACAAACGCTCAGGGTGAAGCTTCGCCCGAGCGCATATCGCTTACTTTTTTTAAAAAATGGCGGGGGAAAGCCGGAAGCCTCAGGCTTCCGACGGTACTGTCTCTGCAACGGAGGAGAGCGATCAGACGCCAGGGTGCACCGTTTACAACCGTTGCACTCAGTTTACCACCACTTGGGACCTAGTGGCAGAGTGCAACGGTTTAAAGGGATTGACAACTGTTAGGGACGGGAGGCAGATGTTCGCCGTGTGAACGCCCGTAAGTACACCGGTTGGAACCGGCACCTATACCGTTGTAAATCCCCCGTCTGAACGCACCCAGTGTGTTGGACTGGATGGGCCACTGGCCTGATCCAACACTGGCTTCTCTTTTGTTCTTATAGGAACTCTCGGTCTGGGGCAAGGGATGCTCTGTCTTCTTGGTGCTTGGGGGTGGGGGTGGCAACAGTGGGAGGGCTTCTAGTGTCCAGGCCCCACCGCTGAACCTCCTGATGGCACCTGGTGTTTCTGGCCACTGTGTGCCACAGAGTGTTGGACTGGATGGGCCACTGGCCTGATCCAACACTGGCTTCTCCTATGTTCTTATAGGATTTAACGTAGCATGTTGCTGTGTCTCGAGAGCTCTTCTTTACTTACTTAAACTCCAATGGCAGCTTGCAATATTATTCTCCCCTCCTTCATTTTATGCTCACAACAATGACAACGAGCTAGGCTAGGCAGAGGGAGAGGGACTGGTCCGAGGTCACCCACTGAGAGTGTGGATTTGAGCCTGGGTCTCCCAGATACTAGCTCAGCACTCTAACCGCTAAACCACACTGGCTTCGATATCTGAACATCTTGTCGCTTTTGGTAGCTCACTTACGTGTCCTAGCTTTGGGTCCTTGACGCCGTGGTTTACAGGAGCAGGAGAAAGACTTTCTGCCTTTTGAGTAGAATTTGATTTGATTTGCGGGTGCAGCTGAGGAACTGCACTGGCATAGCTGTTCTTGAAAAAGAGCAGTTTCTGCCAAGAGTTCTCTCAGCCCCGCCTACCTCACAGGGTGTCTGTTGTGGGGAGGGGAAGGGAAAGGAGTTTGTAAGCCGCTCTGAGACTCCCTTGGGTAGTGAAGGGCAAGGTATAAATCCAATCTCTTATTCTTCTTCTTTTACCTCACAGGGTGTCTGTTGTGGGGAGGGGAAGGGAAAGGAGTTTGTAAGCCACTCTGAGACTTCTTTGGGTAGTGAAGGGCGGGGTATAAATCCAGTATATCTCTCTCTCTCTCTCTCTCTCTCTCTCTCTCTCTCTCTCTCTCTCTCTCCCCCG